TTAATTTCCCCATAGGCGACAATGATAGCCTTTTTCGAGATACAGACTTTAGAAAGTTGATTTTTTAAACGAAACCTTGCTAGAATTAAAGAAAAGTTATTAGGACAGTATTTTTTGGTCCAAAAAATATAGGTTCGCGTTGCTTTTCTTAGCGTAATTTGTACTTATCTCCCATGCCTATCAATTTTGCACATAAAAATACGTGTCTCATCCTAGCGTTTAAAAGACATCTCAGTTCCGTTAGGGCTAAGGAAAATAATTTATTTGGCCTTTGGTATAATGCAGAATGCACGAAGTCTCTAATAACAAAAAATAACGGGCGCACATATCAACCAATCAGGATTAGCTATACTCTTAATTCTGAATACCATGTTATGCTCATAAAATGGCTGCGCCCATAAAATCTAATGGTGTATTGTAACCTATACGGTATTTAATACTTTCTAGAATCATGCAATTCATAGTTCGTTAGATGCACAAATATATATGCCACACAAAAATCATCTTCAAAACGTTCTGGCATTACTCTCTGAATTTTCACAATTTTTTATCAGAGGTGACCCCAGTCAAAAAATGTGAAAAAAAAATTTCTGATTTTTTGAGTAAATGCGGTACTGCTAAAAAGGGCCTGAAGATAATGTCCACTTTCTCCAATGATTCTTTATATGTCATCAAGTACTGATTATATTGATACCAAAACCGATCCAATATGTAACTACTACGGTGAATTTTGAACAACAGTTTTAAATGAAACCATTTTCGTATAAAAGTACATTTTTGAAACAGACTATAGCATTTCAAAATATGAAAAATGTGTAAATATTTGTGTTTAAACATCGAAAACTATTCGTTAACTACAAAATGTCATGCCTATTCTAATTTTTATAGTCTGCCATTCGAGTGAACATTTCAATGTTCAATGGGGGTCATTTCTGTACATTTTCACTGAATTTGGTAATTTCGATAACAGCATTTGGATCGAGATTGTCATGTTTAAAAATCGATTTGTATATCCAAACTCTAGACGTGTACGTGCTTTTTTCAAACAAATCAGCAGAAGTTCAGAAAACGACATATTCTCTCCACAGTAAGTCAAAAGTCGAACCCACCCTTGTTTCTAAGGTAAAACGCAATACAAATATGAAACAGACTATAGCTTAAAAACTAGTTAATCAATAATTCATTTGTCACAAAAAAATACGGTTTCACATCAAATATCAAGTAAAATTACTGTTTTTGACACTTTTTGAGCACTATGATAAAGAAATGTCGACGCTGTATAGGTTGAAATAAACAATTAATTTCCCCATAGGCGACAATGATAGCCTTTTTCGAGATACAGACTTTAGAAAGTTGATTTTTTAAACGAAACCTTGCTAGAATTAAAGAAAAGTTATTAGGACAGTATTTTTTGGTCCAAAAAATATAGGTTCGCGTTGCTTTTCTTAGCGTAATTTGTACTTATCTCCCATGCCTATCAATTTTGCACATAAAAATACGTGTCTCATCCTAGCGTTTAAAAGACATCTCAGTTCCGTTAGGGCTAAGGAAAATAATTTATTTGGCCTTTGGTATAATGCAGAATGCACGAAGTCTCTAATAACAAAAAATAACGGGCGCACATATCAACCAATCAGGATTAGCTATACTCTTAATTCTGAATACCATGTTATGCTCATAAAATGGCTGCGCCCATAAAATCTAATGGTGTATTGTAACCTATACGGTATTTAATACTTTCTAGAATCATGCAATTCATAGTTCGTTAGATGCACAAATATATATGCCACACAAAAATCATCTTCAAAACGTTCTGGCATTACTCTCTGAATTTTCACAATTTTTTATCAGAGGTGACCCCAGTCAAAAAATGTGAAAAAAAAATTTCTGATTTTTTGAGTAAATGCGGTACTGCTAAAAAGGGCCTGAAGATAATGTCCACTTTCTCCAATGATTCTTTATATGTCATCAAGTACTGATTATATTGATACCAAAACCGATCCAATATGTAACTACTACGGTGAATTTTGAACAACAGTTTTAAATGAAACCATTTTCGTATAAAAGTACATTTTTGAAACAGACTATAGCATTTCAAAATATGAAAAATGTGTAAATATTTGTGTTTAAACATCGAAAACTATTCGTTAACTACAAAATGTCATGCCTATTCTAATTTTTATAGTCTGCCATTCGAGTGAACATTTCAATGTTCAATGGGGGTCATTTCTGTACATTTTCACTGAATTTGGTAATTTCGATAACAGCATTTGGATCGAGATTGTCATGTTTAAAAATCGATTTGTATATCCAAACTCTAGACGTGTACGTGCTTTTTTCAAACAAATCAGCAGAAGTTCAGAAAACGACATATTCTCTCCACAGTAAGTCAAAAGTCGAACCCACCCTTGTTTCTAAGGTAAAACGCAATACAAATATGAAACAGACTATAGCTTAAAAACTAGTTAATCAATAATTCATTTGTCACAAAAAAATACGGTTTCACATCAAATATCAAGTAAAATTACTGTTTTTGACACTTTTTGAGCACTATGATAAAGAAATGTCGACGCTGTATAGGTTGAAATAAACAATTAATTTCCCCATAGGCGACAATGATAGCCTTTTTCGAGATACAGACTTTAGAAAGTTGATTTTTTAAACGAAACCTTGCTAGAATTAAAGAAAAGTTATTAGGACAGTATTTTTTGGTCCAAAAAATATAGGTTCGCGTTGCTTTTCTTAGCGTAATTTGTACTTATCTCCCATGCCTATCAATTTTGCACATAAAAATACGTGTCTCATCCTAGCGTTTAAAAGACATCTCAGTTCCGTTAGGGCTAAGGAAAATAATTTATTTGGCCTTTGGTATAATGCAGAATGCACGAAGTCTCTAATAACAAAAAATAACGGGCGCACATATCAACCAATCAGGATTAGCTATACTCTTAATTCTGAATACCATGTTATGCTCATAAAATGGCTGCGCCCATAAAATCTAATGGTGTATTGTAACCTATACGGTATTTAATACTTTCTAGAATCATGCAATTCATAGTTCGTTAGATGCACAAATATATATGCCACACAAAAATCATCTTCAAAACGTTCTGGCATTACTCTCTGAATTTTCACAATTTTTTATCAGAGGTGACCCCAGTCAAAAAATGTGAAAAAAAAATTTCTGATTTTTTGAGTAAATGCGGTACTGCTAAAAAGGGCCTGAAGATAATGTCCACTTTCTCCAATGATTCTTTATATGTCATCAAGTACTGATTATATTGATACCAAAACCGATCCAATATGTAACTACTACGGTGAATTTTGAACAACAGTTTTAAATGAAACCATTTTCGTATAAAAGTACATTTTTGAAACAGACTATAGCATTTCAAAATATGAAAAATGTGTAAATATTTGTGTTTAAACATCGAAAACTATTCGTTAACTACAAAATGTCATGCCTATTCTAATTTTTATAGTCTGCCATTCGAGTGAACATTTCAATGTTCAATGGGGGTCATTTCTGTACATTTTCACTGAATTTGGTAATTTCGATAACAGCATTTGGATCGAGATTGTCATGTTTAAAAATCGATTTGTATATCCAAACTCTAGACGTGTACGTGCTTTTTTCAAACAAATCAGCAGAAGTTCAGAAAACGACATATTCTCTCCACAGTAAGTCAAAAGTCGAACCCACCCTTGTTTCTAAGGTAAAACGCAATACAAATATGAAACAGACTATAGCTTAAAAACTAGTTAATCAATAATTCATTTGTCACCAAAAAATACGGTTTCACATCAAATATCAAGTAAAATTACTGTTTTTGACACTTTTTGAGCACTATGATAAAGAAATGTCGACGCTGTATAGGTTGAAATAAACAATTAATTTCCCCATAGGCGACAATGATAGCCTTTTTCGAGATACAGACTTTAGAAAGTTGATTTTTTAAACGAAACCTTGCTAGAATTAAAGAAAAGTTATTAGGACAGTATTTTTTGGTCCAAAAAATATAGGTTCGCGTTGCTTTTCTTAGCGTAATTTGTACTTATCTCCCATGCCTATCAATTTTGCACATAAAAATACGTGTCTCATCCTAGCGTTTAAAAGACATCTCAGTTCCGTTAGGGCTAAGGAAAATAATTTATTTGGCCTTTGGTATAATGCAGAATGCACGAAGTCTCTAATAACAAAAAATAACGGGCGCACATATCAACCAATCAGGATTAGCTATACTCTTAATTCTGAATACCATGTTATAACACTGGACACTTTTAATTTGCAAAACACTCATTTGCAAATCCACTGCCGCCTCTCCTTACACCTACAGTGTCGTGTATATAACCAAAATGTGCAGAATTACATGGGATTCAATAATTTCATTGCTTTTCTGCTGTTATTATTATATATATTTTGTAATTTGATTTAGAAAAACATGGGATTTTCAATATCCCATGGGATACGGCAAATCCCATGGGATATACCATTATCCCATGGGATTTTGGTTAAATCCCATAGGATTTTTTTGGGTCCCATGGGATAATTGTACTCCCATGGGATATTTGTTGTCCCATGGGACCAAAAAAATCCCATGGGACTATAATTATCCCATGGGATTTTTAATATCCCATGGGACAAAATAAAATCCTATGGAATTCAAATTATTAATATACAGTAATGTGTATGTTACAATGAATTCTGTTTGGTAGTAAAAAGTTTATAATATAAATATTAGTGTATTTTGGGTTTTTTCATTTTGTCACAAACATGTTTTTAATTTGTTTATATGACAATAAAGATTATTATTATTTTGGAAAGTATAATAATATTTAAAGTTAAAAAAATCAAATCCTTTAACTGAAATAAAATGATGACATGTCTTAATAAAAGAAAAAAATATTGATTTGAAATCTTTGTCTTGTTTGTTTTATTATGAAAAATAGAACTGAAAAAAATATTTCATATTCTGACTGAATAAATTGACAAAGCACAGTTAATAGTTTACTCTTTTAATGAGGTAAAGTTTTCTTTGTTATAGTTCCATTGCAATACATGAATATGCAAACAATTTGAATCTTATACCTTTGTGGTGTTCATAATATTACGTTTATATTTGCAAATTTATAAAATTAACACTTTTCCTGTTAAGTTTTAGTTTTCTTGTTTCAGCTTGCTATGTACAATTATTCAGTCCACTACATAAGAGTCAAGTAAATAAATTATTTCATCCACTAGAATATTCCTACAATTCTTAGACAAAACATTTTTGCAATCTGTTCTTCAAAAATCCTCCTCCGTACATCTTTATTGGATGGAGTGATTTAAATGAGTGGACAAAGCAAGTTCATTTGGACAACAAATTACTAATATATTTTTTCATTCCTCCCTTCTTTCAATTGATAATTACGTTGTTGCATTTACATGATTTAGTTCTTGTGCATCTATGATCATGATAATATGACTCCTTTTTGTTTATAGTCATTATGTTGAAATTTCCTCTTTCTTATGTAGGAAAAAAACACATTCCATTTCAAATTAATAAAAAAGTCACACTATATAGAAAAATATCAACTTTAAGTTTTCTGTTCAGTATTGACCTGTTGAATGATGATCATGAAAACCAAGATGTCTGACCTACAAATACACAAAACTCAAAAATTATAAATGAAGAGAAATACAGCAATAAAATGGCTTCTTTATCATGTTTATGTACATTTTGATAAAACTTTCATTTGAATATTTAAAATTGTAAGTACTCTTATTTCAGTGCTTTGTGTCTATGGTTTTCATATTAGTTGCTTTTGTGCCTTGTTGCAGTCTTTTGAGTTAACCCAATTGCAACAAATTTTTACAGTTTGTTCAAAGGTTGTGCTGTTATTAAAACCACTGTCCTAGGTTAGGGGTGGGATGGGTGCTCACAAAATGTTTATTTTATTAGTTGATATTTGCTATGAATTAGCTGTCAGTAACTGTGAGTACTAATAGATCTGTATGTTGAGTCTTTTTTGTTACAGGGAAAGAATAAATGTCCAGCCACATCCGGTCTGTGTTTTTGGTAGCTGTTTTTCTGCTTTGTTGCATTCTAATGAGTTAATAAAATTGAGAATGAAAACGGGAATGTATAAAAATAACCTGACCCAAGAGCAGAAAAAAGCCCTTTTCAACTGATTTTATAGTTTTTATATTCAACTGACACTTACACCACTGTCCTTAATTAGAGGGGGATTTGGTGCCAGCAAACATGTTAAACCATGACACATTTTGTAAGTGTCTGTCCCAAGTCAGGGGTCTATTATTCAGTGGTTGTCAATTGTTGCTATATATCATATTTGTTTTTTGTTTATTGTTTTGTGCAAAAATCAGGCACTTAGCTTTCGCCTTTGTGGTGTATCCCCCAAGCATGTTTAGTATGGATAGACATTATGCCCTTTTTAAATGACGCCATGCCCTTTTTGAATTGTTTTACATTTGTTTTTTTGAATTTCATGGCCTTTTATAGATTACTATGCAGTATAGGGTTTGCTCATTGTCGAAGGCTGTACAGTGAACTAATTTTGTTAAATTTCATGTCATTTTATCCTTATTGGAGAAAAGTCTCAATGGCAATCATACCGCTTCTTATTTTCATATCAACCCTGCCATATTTTGCCTGTCCGAAATCAGGAGCCTGTACATAGTTCAGTGGTTGATGTTGGTTCACGTCCGTCATATTTGTTTTTTCATAACTTGTTCATTTTTATGAATTAGTCTGGTATATTTGAAGTTTGAATTGATGTTTTGTTCCAAATTTTGTTTGTGGTGTCTTTTATAGATGACTATATCATGTATAGGTTATGGGTTTTCTCATTATTTACAGGTCATCATTGGCCTCTAATAAGTAATTGCATTGCTTTCATCCACTTAATTGAACTCTGGTGGATAGTTTTCTCATTTACCATACCACATCTTATTTTCATAATAATCATTATTCAAGGGCAATAACTTTTATAGAAGTGGACTTACCATTTAGGCTTTGTTGACGTCTGAAATCTATTTTTGTTGATAATCTCTTTTGTTTATAGTTTCCCTTTATCTTTAATGTTCTTGCCCTACACATAAAAGGGTAAACATTATCATTTAATGACAATAACTACTATTACATAATTAGTAGGCAACTGACAATTTTGGATCATTTGTATATCTTGTCATGCTCATCATTTTTTTTGTTTAATATTATCAATATTCTATGAAAATGAGGTCACAGTAATATTAACCTTGGCAGACAGACAACTTCTTATTTTTATATGACACCTTGCAGTCATTCCATACACTTACAAGTAGACATATGCTTATAATATCTGATAAAAAGAAAAAACCAAGAAAACTTAGCATTGACCAAAGAACCATAAAATACGGTCATGGTTATATAAATCTGCCAGACAGACATGCACACCTTACAATCGTTACATCCGCCAAATATAATTTACCTGTTGCTTAAAGCATATGATAAACTGACAAAACAATGCAAACTTTTCATTGACCAATGAACCATGAAAATGAGGTCAAGGTCATATAAAACATGCCAGACAGACATGTGCATCTTACAATCATTCCATTCACCAAATATAGGGGCCTTATTGCTTACAGTATCCGAAAAATAGACCAAACCACAAAAACTAAACATTGTCCAATGTACTATGAAAATAAAGTCAAGGTAAGACGAAACTTCTCAGTCAAACATATCATGATATGCACCTTACTATCATTCCATACACCAAATATAGTTGACCTATTGCTAATTTGAAAATAAGAAGATAGAAAAACTGACCAAAAAACAAAAAAATAACATTGAGCAATGAACCATAAAAATGAGGTCAAGGTCGAATAAAACATGCCAGACTAACATGTACATCCTTAAAAATTTTCATACACCAAATATACTTGACATGTTGCATACAGTATTAGAATAAAATGCTCCGCTGGGTGCAGCTTGATACGACCGCAGAGTTAGAACCCTGAACAGTTGGGGCAAGTATGGACACAACATTCAAGCTTGATACAGCTCTGAATTTGGATTGTGATTAAATATTTGACACAGCATAGGTTTCTGACACAGAATGAATGTGGTCTAAGAACTTAAAATTTTTTAATTTACCTATTATGGTCCAATATCCAAAATCTAAATACATACACGGTTAGATTCAGCATATTAAAGAACCCCAAGAATTCAATTTTTGTTAAAATCAAACTACGTTTAATTTTGAACCCTTTGGACCTTAATGTAGACCAATTTGAAAACGGGACCAAAAGGTAGTATGGTACCTTGCAAAACAATTTCAGAAAGATCCATACACTTGAACACAAGTTATTGTCTGGAAACTAGAAAAATGCTTGTTTTTTTGCCCCTTTTTTGCCCCAAATTCCTAAACGTTTAGGGCAATTACCCCCAAACTCAAACCCAGCTTTCCCTTTGAGATATGGAACCTTGTAGTACAATTTCATAAAGATTCATACACTTACACACAAGTTATTGTCCTGAAACTAGAAAAAGGCTTGTTTTTTGCCCCTTTTTGGCCCCTAATTCCTAATATTTTAAGGCAGTTACCCCCAAAATCAATCCCAGCCTTCCCTTTGTGGTATGGTACCTTGCAGTACAATTTCAGAGAGATCCATATACTTGAACACAAGTTATTGTCTGGAAACTAGAAAAATGCTTATTTTTAGCCCCTTTTTGGCCCCTTATTCCTAAACGTTTTGGGAAATTACCCCCAATCTCAATTCCAGCTTTCCCTTTGTGATATGGAACCTTGTACGGTAGTACAATTTCAGAAAGATCCATACACTTACACACAAGTAATTGTCATGAAACTAGAATAAAATGCTTCGCTGGGCGCAGCTTGATACGACCGCAGAGGTCGAACCCTGAACAGTTGGGGCAAGTATGGACACAACATTCAAGCTTGATACAGCTCTGAATTTGGATTGTGATTAAATATTTGACACAGCATAGGTTTCTGACACAGAAAGAATGTGGTCTAAGAACTTCAATTTTTTTAATTTACCTATTATGGTCCAATGTCCAAAATCAAAATACATGGTTAGATTCAGCATATCAAAGAACCCCATATATTCAATTTTTGTTGAAATCAAACAAAGTTTAATTTTGTACCCCAACTTGGACAAACTTGAAAACTGGTCCCATAATCAAAAATCTAAACACATGTTTAGATTCAGCATATCAAAGTACCCCAAGAATTCAATTTTTATTAAAATCAAACTAAGTTTAATTTTGGACCCTTTTGACCACAATATGAACCAATTTGATAGCGGGCCTACAAAATAAAAAATCTAAATACATGGTAAGATTCAGCATATCAAAGAACCCCATATATTCAATTTTTGTTGAAATCAAACAAAGTTTAATTTTGGACCCCAATTTGGACCAACTTGAAAACTGGGCCAAAAATCAAAAATCTAAATACATATTTAGATTCAGCATATCAAAGAACCCCATATATTCAATTTTTGTTGAAATCAAACAAAGTTTAATTATGGACCCCAACTTGGACCAACTTGAAAACTGGTCCCATAATCAAAAATCTAAACACATGTTTAGATTCAGCATATCAAAGAACCCCAAAAATTCAATTTTTGTTAAAATCAAACTAAGTTTAATTTTGGACCCTTTGGACCTTAATGTAGACCAATTTAAAAAACGGGACCCAAAATTAAAAATCTAAATACACGGTTAGATTTGGCATATCAAAGAACCCCAATAATTCAATTTTTGATGAAATCAAACAAAGTTTAATTTTGGACCCTTTTGACCTCAATATGAACCAATTTGATAGCGGGCCCACAAATAAAAAATCTAAATACATGGTAAGATTCAGCATATCAAAGAACCCCATATATTCAATTTTTGTTGAAATCAAACAAAGTTTAATTTTGGACCCCAATTTGGACCAACTTGAAAACTGGGCCAAAAATCTAAAATCTAAGTACATGTTTAGATTCAGCATATCAAAGAACCCCATATATTCAATTTTTGTTGAAATCAAACAAAGTTTAATTTTGGACCCCAACTTGGACCAACTTGAAAACTGGGCCCATAATCAAAATTCTAAACACATGTTTAGATTCAGCATATCAAAGAACCCCAAGAATTCAATTTTTGTTAAAATCAAACTAAGTTTAATTTTGGACCCTTTGGACCTTAATGTAGACCAATTTAAAAACGGGACCCAAAATTAAAAATCTAAATACACGGTTAGATTTGGCATATCAAAGAACCCCAATAATTCAATTTTTGATGAAATCAAACAAAGTTTAATTTTGGACCCTTTTGACCTCAATATGAACCAATTTGATAGCGGGTCCACAAGTAAAATATCTAAATACATGGTTAGATTCAGCATATCAAAGAACCCCAAGAATTCAATTTTTGATGAAATCAAACAAAGTTTAATTTTGGACCCTTTTGACCTCAATGTGGACAAAGTTGATAACGGGGCCCAAAAATCAAAAATCTAAATACATGGTTAGATTCAGCATATCAAAGAACCCCATATATCAATTTTTGTTGAAATCAAACAAAGTTTAATTTTGGACCCCGATTTGGACCAACTTGAAAACTGGGCCCATAATCAAGAATCTAAATACACGGTTAGATTCGGCATATCAAAGAACCCCAATAATTCAATTTTTGTTAAAATCAAACTAAGTTTAATTTTGGACCCTTTTGACCTTAATGTAGACCAATTTAAAAACGGGGCCCAAAATCCAAAAACTTAATACACGGTTAGATTCAGCATATTAAAGAACCCCAAGAATTCAAGAATAAAACCCCATTGAAATTGATCAAGAAATAAGCAATTTATACGAAGTATCTTCTTTTGCACAATACTGTGCAATTGAATATTTCTTGCTATTGTGCAATACTGTACAATTGACAATTTCTTGCTATTGCGCAATATTGTGCTATTGGATATTTCTTGCTATTGCGCAATACTGTGCAATTGAAGATTTCTTGCTATTGCGCAATACTGTGCAATTGAAGATTTCTTGCTATTGTGCAATACTGTGCAATTGAAAATTTCTTGCTATTGCACAATACTTATTATATAATAATTTACACATCCTGTTTGGTGTGTAACTCCTACCATATCATTATTATTTGCTTTTAAATATTAATCAGAAATAACCAACTTAAAATGGAAAATTTTAAAAGAAAAAAAAAAGGAAAAAAGAAAAAAAAAGAAAAAAAAAAAATCCCCCCCCCCCCAAATTTTTTGAACCCCCTTATGATTCATCACACCCAAACTCAATCCCAGCCTTCCCTTTGTGGTATGGTACGTTGCAGTACAATTTCAGAGAGATCCATACACTTGAACACAAGTTATTGTCTGGAAACTAGAAAAATGCTTATTTATGGCCCCTTTTTGGCCCCCAATTCCTAAACGTTTCAGGCAATTACCCCCAAACTCAATTCCAGCTTTCCCTTTGTGATATGGAACCTTGTAGTACAATTTCAGAAATATCCAAACACTTACACACAAGTTATTGTCATGAAACTAGAAAAATGCTTGTTTTTTGCCCCTTTTTTGGCCCCTAATTCCTAAAATTTTGAGGCAATTACCCCCAAAATCAATTACAGCCTTCCCTTTGTGATATGGAACCTTGTGGTACAATGTCAGAGAGATCCATACACTTACACACAAGTTATTGTCTGGAATTACAAAAATGCTTATTTTTGGCCCCTTTTTGGCCCCTAATTCCTTAACTGTTGGTACCATAACCCCCAAAATCAATCCCAACCTTCCTTTCGTGGTATTGAACCTTATGGTAAAATTTCATGGAGATCCATTCACTTAAACTAAAGTTAGAGTGCGAAAACCAATGTGTCTTCGGACGACGCCGGACGACGCCAGACGACGACGACGACGACGACGACGACGCTGACGACGACGCCAACGTCATACCAATATACGACCAAAAAATTTTCAATTTTTGCGGTCGTATAAAAATGTTTGCTTTTGCCCCTTTTTTGGCCCCTAATTCCTAAAATTTTGAGGCAATTACCCCCAAAATCAATCCCAGCATTCCCTTTGTGATATGGAACCTTGTGGTACAATGTCAGAGAGATCCATACACTAAAACACAAGTTATTGTCTGGAAGTTACAAAATGCTTATTTTTGGCCCCTTTTTGGCCCCTAATTCCTTAACTGTTGGTACCATAACCCCAAAAATTCTGAACCTTCCTTTTGTGGTATTGAACCTTATGGTAAAATTTCATATAGATCCATTCACTTAAACTAAAGTTATTGTGCGAAAACCAATGCGTCTTCGGACGAAGACGCCAATGTCATACCAATATACGACCGCAAAAATTTTTTGCGGCCGTATAAAAACTGGACATTTTTACCTAGGAATAGTGATGTCTTGGACTAGGAAAATTAGTCTGGGGACATAAATTACTGACATCAGACTAAATATACTAGTAAATTCTGCTTCCATGGACTTTTTATACTAGTTATATTTGTCTGACCAGACAATTTTTACAAGGACTAATTTATCTCTTACACTAGTTCTCAGAGAGACATGTCACCTTACCTTGACACATAATTCTGACTCTGAACAAACCAGTATTTGCTCTTACTCCTTAATAATACTGCGTGCTTAGGGGAGAAGCAGCAAATACCAACTTTAAAGTCTTTGGTTTTACCCTGTTGGGTTCAAAATAAACAACCTTCTGCACTTGAGGTTAACATGCTACCACGAGACCAGGCAGTATAATATAAGGAGTTTACCCAAGATTTAAAGTTTCCAAGTTTTTGCAAAAACTGGATCAAAATCATCATTGAAAAGCAATAACTTTTTAATAAGATTTACAAATGTAAGTTTCTCTTTAAATATTACAGTTTTAGAGATAAAAAGGCAAATTCAAGAAATATGAAGAAAATAAAAAGGTAAAAATCTGTATTTAAGGCAACAACTCCTATGAGTCAGCTGCCAGTTTTGATGCCATTTAAAATAGACAGTAGATTTTATTTTTCAACATTCTGATCATTTCTACCCTTGTCAGATATCGTCTATCTATTTTGGCCTTTTGTAGCTTATTACGCAGTTTGGCTTTTTAGCCCATTGTTGAAATCTGTACGGTGACCTATATAGTTGTTAAATTCTGTCTTTAGTTTCTGTTGAAGAGCCTACGGTGACCTATATAGTTGTTAACTTCTACGTCTTTAGTTTCTGTTGAAGAGCCGTCACATTGGCAATGTCCAATGATACCATATTTGTATATGTTTTTGTCATGTAGGTGTAAGGGAGTTACCATTTGATTTTTATGGGGGGGGGGGGGGGGGGGGGGGGGGGGGTAGGATGAAAAATGTTGTCCTGCCTTTTTTTTTTTTTTAAGTTGTAATCTCTGTCCTGCCTTTATATTTTTAACTCTATTCGATCCTGCCTTTTTTTTTTATTAGTTTATCCTGACTTTTTTTTTACATAAATTGTCATCCTGCCTTTTTTTTTTTTGCCATGTTGCTCATCCTGCCTGTTTTTTCTACTCAAAACTCCTGTCCTGCTTTTTTTACAAATTTCATCCTAGCTTCCCCCCCCCCCCCCCCCCTAAAAATCAAATGGAAGCTCCATAAGGAGACAACCTTTTGATTTTCTGGTGGGATAAAAAGTGGAGACAGATTTTTCATCACCGGGCCTGGTTAGTTTTTCAGGGTTCGTAAGGATAGAAAATCCGGCAAATTGTAACAATTAAACCCCTGTTGTACGACCATATTTGCCAAAAGGTGTAATACCACCAAATCATAGTACGTCACATCCGGTTGCATACGAAAATAGGTCGAAAAAAAATATTCCCTTGAATTTGACAGTTGTAGGTAATTGATCCTACATTTCATTGCAGTAAAACATTTCTGGGTCATAAACATATATCTTGGGTATTTCAAAGCACCATTATTTTTTTATTTGGGGTTTCTATAGAATATTTTGGAAACTTGAGGTTACATGGTTACTAAAGCTTGTACACAGGTTAAAAAAGGGGGAAAATTTGATTGGTTAACTTCCAGTGATGGTTATTTTCTTATATGCAATGAAATGTTATGTGAAATTTTTTCTATAGTACTGGACAGGATCAAACTTTACTCATGCCAAGTATTTCTTTATTTGAAACAAAGATAAATTCTGCACAATTTTTTGAAAAGTGCAAATTTAACAAAGACTAATAGGGGAAAATCAATGGTGGTATTACACCTAATATGGGAAGCTGTACATGCACCTTTGACCTTGTGAGTACTCTCATGTGTTAAAATTTCTTGCTATTTAAGTGAAATATTACTAATAATGAAATATTCTGAGTGGATTGAGTCTCCAAAACACATTTTATGAGAAAATTTCCTTGAAATAGGACTTTACCATGAATATTAGTTGACAGAATAAGCCATACTTAGAGTTTTGGGGAGCTTTTTCTCCTTTTTTCTTATATTCTGCTATACTAGAAAATTTTTCCTAAGAAATACTTTAATAAATATATAGTTTTAAGTAAATGAAATTATTTTTAAAGCAGTAACAACAAATTATTCACCAAAAGAGAAGCTTTGTATGTCCCTCTCTGGAACGCGGCGTAAATTTAAGTTTTACGTAAGGACTTATTGAAACCTCCTTGGAGACAGTAAACTTTTGTACGGATAGTTCATTCAGCTTGAAAACTTCATTTAATCATTTATTATAACATTTCTATCATAAATGAGTGAAAGTTACCCCAAAATTTTTATTTATTGGCCTATAAAGTAGAAATTCTGAGGAAATGAGAGGTATAAATGGACCAAAAGAGACCTTATAAGGAAGACAAAGAGGTCCATTAGTAGTATTTATCATCCTGAAGTCATCTTTTGTATCATATTCAACTGTTTGTAGGCAGATGAGATAAATATTTGATCATTTATTGGTCCACACTATATTCTATCATGATGCGGCTTGGTTTGGATTATTAGAAATTTAGCTCGAATCGCTGTAGATGTCGTCTTACATTATACTAGATTTTTCTCAAACTATTGAACTGATTATGACAAAACTTGACAGGAATGCTAGAAATAACCAGTATTACAAAGGAAAAAAGTCCCATTCAATTTATTTAACAAAAAAGTCTTCTTTAGGTGTAATACCACCAAATCATAGTACGTCACATCCGGTTGCATACGAAAATAGGTCGAAAAAAAATATTCCCTTGAATTTGACAGTTGTAGGTAATTGATCCTACATTTCATTGCAGTAAAACATTTCTGGGTCATAAACATATATCTTGGGTATTTCAAAGCACCATTATTTTTTTATTTGGGGTTTCTATAGAATATTTTGGAAACTTGAGGTTACATGGTTACTAAAGCTTGTACACAGGTTAAAAAAGGGGGAAAATTTGATTGGTTAACTTCCAGTGATGGTTATTTTCTTATATGCAATGAAATGTTATGTGAAATTTTTTCTATAGTACTGGACAGGATCAAACTTTACTCATGCCAAGTATTTCTTTATTTGAAACAAAGATAAATTCTGCACAATTTTTTGAAAAGTGCAAATTTAACAAAGACTAATAGGGGAAAATCAATGGTGGTATTACACCAAAAGATTAGTCCAAAAATTTATGACGTCTTGCAAGGCTATTTTAACTTTTTTCTGGCCACATAATAGTCAAAGTTGTGACTGAGTGCGGAAATATGAAGATAGATAGACAGAAAAAAAATTAAAATAGTCTTGCAAGACGTCATAATTATTTTGACTACCTAAAGATGTAACCTTATTCTTACTTGTTTGGGGAAAAGGAGAATTAACCGAACCACTATTCAATCTAAATCAGTGAACTGAATTATTGTCTTTTGCAGTAGTCCGAGTCGACATCTGTAACTAATCATGCAAATTGATAGTCAACAGTATACCTTTTTCAAAATGTCAGCTTACATGTACGACAAAGAATCACTGGTGGTAGGGGAGTGTAACCAATAAATTGATCCTAAATCAGATAAGATTTTCCCAGTAACGGAGAACCCCTTTCTTTGAGTGACTCTTGAGTGAATATAAATAGTGACGGGGGTCTCACAAATAAATATAAATCTGAATTTCAGGAACATCGATAAGCAAAGTAAACTTACATATTAATCTCGAAGTTATTTACGTTAAAGACAGAATGTGCTCCTGAATTAATGTATTAACTCATATACATTTGCGTATATTACTCGCGCGCGGGGGGGGGGGGGGGGGCACTTCCTATATACAAGGTGATAGGACGTGCCGCTGGAATAGGTCACTTTTTCCAGCTTGAAAATATGGGAATAGGTAGGGAAAACTGTCAGAAATATATGATAAGGTCGATAAAGTTCCAATTACTTGTAAATGTACTTGTATATGCAAAGCCCTGTCATTTTTTCACAGCCTAAAGTCTCGCCGTGAGTAAACATTACACACAGAATCTTAGCCTTAAATATTCCACTTTTCCAACACACCCCACGAAACCCAACCAATATGGGAAAAGGTTACAATTTTACCGACGCAATATATGAAAAGGTATACATTTTTAAGATCTAAATTATATGAAAAGAGTGGGGTAACAGAACCCAAGCGACACCCTATCAATTAAGTATTGAAGTGCCCCCTCCCCCTCCCCACCCTCCGCCTGATGTATTTTACTGCTACAATCACGCGACCGTTGCTGAGCAGAGAACCATACTTTCAAGCCAGGGTCAGTCTATACTAACAGTTAGTATAGAAAGTCCCTGTAAAAAGGCAGGCAAATCCTAACAGTACTGTAACTTAATGATACATGTATATCAAGTTACAGCACCTCACCCAGCACAGTTAGCACACTGCATGGTGTGTGTCAGTCTTATAATTAAAACTGTGTAGGTTCATATCGTTTGATTCAACGTTTTTTCGGATATTTTTAGGACCGTTGTCAACATGGTCAAATCCGACCTGCCACTTTGCAACCTGACCTGCAAAAATATAATTCGACTAAAAACAAAGCCAGTCAAAATTGCTTTTTGAGACTGGGCGACTGAAAAAGTTTTAAAATGTGACCTTGTGACCCTACTTGGAATTCTCCATTCATCGGCGTGTGTCGGTGTGGCTAAAAAGGGGGCATTGGTTTTTTTTCTTGGGACAAAAAATTGTTTCTATCTTTGTTAAAAAAAAATCAAGACCAATCATAAACTTTTTTTTTCAAAACTCAGTGTCGTATTTTATTGTTTTCCCAACAATGTTTAATAAAAGCTTAAAATGTTTGTTTCACTTCCCTCTGACTTCCCTCCTGATTTTTTTTCTCAAGAAATTATAGAATCTGTAAATGGATATATGTCTGTAGTCACGGTCATGCATTTAGATAAGAAATTCCAGCATGCATCATCAAATAATTCATGTGTATTTGTGACATCAACAAAACTGAAACATTATATTATTTCCCAGTAATTATGTAAATCATTTTGATTTACAAGTATATATGTCTGGGACTTATGCATGTATATATCTCACAGGCACTTGTCTCAGAAAAAAATAATCTATATACTTTAATTAAGGTATATAGGGGAAAAAATCTGAGACAAGTGCCTGTGATATATCTGTCAGTCCTAGAATAATAAATATAATAATTGTATCTTAATCTTTAGAAAAATCCAATTATTAAATTGTTAAATTCTTTTACTTCATAATTATGTCAAAGTATACTTTTTAAAGTTTTAAATTTTAAAGTTAAAATAAATATTCCGTTTCGATCTAAGGAAAAAAAAATTAAACTGTAATGACATGGTCAGTCAACGGATTTGTTGCATGGCTGATTACAGGTAATTAAAGCATGCAGTAATTTTCCATTACGACAGTGCGTGTACCCTGGGGTGTGTATAACGTTTTAGAAATACCATAGTTTTCTAGAGAACATCCTGTCGATGTGTAATACAGATTGATGACATTACACAAAATTTCTTTCGTTAAATATAGTTAAGTATCTGTGTCCATTCCCTGTTGCAACACTACAAATTTTTCGAAGAAAAAAGTTAAAATTTGAAGAAAAAAAAATCATTTATATAAAATAAAGAAGAAAAAAAGTAGCAAATAAACTTATGTTATTTGCCTATCCTGCAGTAGACAAGAAATTGAGGATGAATACCATTTCTTCACAGTCTGTCCATGCTATACATCATTGAGGGGGTGTGTTCCCATTTCGCCTTAGCTGGAAATTCCAGGTAAAAAAGGTAAAATAAATACTAAGGCGATATGGGAATTGTACTAAGGCGAAATGTGAATTTAGATGAAAAAATTAAATAAACAAATTAAACCTCTGTGGTTTTATAACAATATAAACAACATGTAATTAGGGATTTTTTTTTCTCTTGGATTATTATTTTAATATTTATTTATAACTTAATTACGTTGTTTACAGAAGCTCCCATTTCGCCTTAGTTAATTCTTGTGTACCTGAAAATTTGTACTAAGGCAAACTGGGATTAATTTTATATAATTATTTTGACAGCTAAGGCGAAATGAGAATAAGCCATTGAGGGATACCTATATACAAAATATTAATAAAAATCTTAATTTCAATTTTATTAAATTGCAGTCACCTATAACACTGAGGCATATGACCGCACTTTTAAATAGCAGTCTGCCAGTCATTATAAATATCACCATAAAGTATATTAATGATTGTTTTTTATTGAGAACATCTGTATAACTTATGTTTCTAAAAATACATGAATATTGTTTTTACAAAAAGAAGTTTAATACATTTTTCATTTTGTATGTAATAATTGAAGCCATTTCGAAATATAAGAAATCTTCACATACTCGGGAAATTTTCAATTCAAGTTATTTCATTTGAAAACGTTAAAAAATATAGATCTTATTCGATGTAAAATGTGGCGTCCTTGGATATCAAAACCCCGTTTAAATAGAGTTTGTCTACTTTCGTCTATTGTCGAACATTCTATAATCAAGGATTTGTTCAAATCCTTGCTATAATATAATGAATCGCGTCGCCAATATCACCACAATTACATAAATTACAAATACAATCTTCTCCTAAATATTTCTAACAATTTCAATAGGAAATTTTGAGTCGAAACTAAAGTACCAAATCTACAAAAAGAATCACTATTTTTTATAGTAGTAGGCGACGAAAACTAAACTGTTTATAATCTTTTTTTTCTCCTAAATTAATTGAAACGCTTGAAATGATTTAACATTATCTATAGACAGCTTACAAATTCAAATCTTTTTAGAAGTATATGAGTGTATAGTAATACTTTGTTCGTTAACCCCCCTTTTTTCTTCTATAAAATTACATTGTAATCGATTTTATTTTCAAATTTGTGTTTGCTAGGCTTGACACTTAGAACGTACAACATAAAGTAACAAGTAAAAAGTCACGATTCAGTTTTGGGATATTTTTTTCTTTGAATAAACTTAATTTTATAAACGTTTCAGCATTTTTCTGAAATATTTTTAAAAGGAACGGACTTGTAAACAAAATTTATTTTTGAATATTAATATTGAACAATGATTGTTAAGAAAACAATCTGCCAAACTGGTTTGGTAATTAACTGGCTTCATGCTGTCAAAAATGTCTCCTTTTTATAAGTTTTTGATAAAAAAAAAAAAAACTATTTGAAGGCGAATTAATCATTTCCTCAACTAAATACATTTATCTATAAATAAAGTCAATTCGTCAAGAACTTTCTCTCATATATTTAAACAATTGTAAAATAATTAATTTAAACTTTTGTACTGCGACTTTCTGTCCGTTTACCAATACTTATTCCTTGTTAGGTTTTTTCATATCCATTTACGAATACTTATAATGTGATAATTTTCGGAAGCTTTTATCCTATTTTCATATCAAACAACCATGTTACCCGTAGAACGGAGTTAAGTACAAATTTAGGAATTTAGTACTTAAAATTTTCAACAACAAAATTTTATACTTTCATTTACCTGGATTTTGTTCTACGCTTCGAAGCCGCCACCCTGTATCAAACATAGCCAACACCTCGCATGGCGTATTCACGATGTTGAGGGATTGACAATATACAATCAAAGTTAGCAATATACAGCAAGTAAGTAATTGGGTGTTGAATGCCAGTAGATCTGAATTTGTAAATTGAATTTAACCTGTTTAGAATGTGTATTGGTGAATTGTTTAATAAAATTACACACATATGATAATCTGGGCTGATATGCATAAAACCACTTTAAGTTCAAAGTATCAATGAAACTGGGTCTGCATGAAAAAATGACTTATCACATAATACCAGAACCTATGTTTACTGTTAGATGATAAGAAAATATAGCTGTAGGCCTAGTTTACAAATTATTTATTCTTTTAATTTCTATTTGACTGTCTGGGTGCTTCTTATGTGTTTTAAATATTTGCGTTTTGTATGCTATAGTTAAGTTTTATAGACTGTTGTACGTCATTTGGTCGTTTTTAAGTTTTTGCCATGGCGTTGTCAGTATGTCTTCGACCTATAAGTTTTATATAATCTGCATCTCTTGTGCTGTATTTTAAAATGTATCTTTACACATTCATCAATACACCAAAAAATATGAATAAAGCTTTCGTATATATAAAAATAAGGAGATGTGGTATGATTGGTAATGAAACAACTATCCGGGATATTTTGAGACAAAGTGCACGTATCAGCAGTCAGCCGAAACCACTAAGCGTTTTGCATCCATACGTTGTTTTTTTTTCGGGATACTGACTGCATAGTAAATTATCAATGTACTAGTTAGTTAATGTTCTCGAGGGAAGACCCTATTACAGAGACATATATACACATATGTGTATATATGTCTCTGCCCTATTACGTGTCAGTAACATTCTCGACACGGTTCATTTTTACGGCGGCTCAGTTTTGTCTTAAGAATAAACATAATTGATAAGTTTCTTTCCCCTGCATTCCTCGATC